AATGCAAATCAAAACCACTTTTGAGATATCATCTAACCGCAGTAAGATTAGCCCACATCACAAAATCCCAAAACTATAGATGTTGGCATGGATGCAGAGAGAAGGGAACACTTCTACACTGCTGGTGGGAAGGCAAGCTAATACAGCCTTTTGGAAAGTAGTTTGGAGAATACTCAAGGAGGTAAAAGTAGATCTACGGTTTGATCCTGAAATTCTTCTACAAGGTAACTACCCAGATGATCAAAAATCATTTAACACCAAAGACATTTGCACCAGAATGTTTATTACACCCCAATTTGTAATTGCCAAGACATGGAAACAGCCCAAGTGCCCACTGACCCATGAATGGATTAATAAACTGTAGTATATGGGCACCATGGAATACTATGCAGCCACAAAAAGATGAAGACTTCACATCTTTTATGTTTACCTGGATGGAGCTGGAACATATTCTTCTTAGTAAAGTGTCTCAAGAATGGAAGAAAAGTATCCAATGCACTCAATACTACTATGAAATCAATATATAATCCCCTATACACTCATATCAATGGTAAACCATGGTAGTCCAGAAAGTAGAAGGGAAGATGAGAGAGAGGGAAGGAGAGGGGAGGGGGAGGGTGGGAAGAGAGAGGGTAACTTGGGGGGGGGGACTTCACCTAATGTGCATGATGCAATGGTTCATTTCAAAACTACTAAGAAAAAAAGCATAATTGTGATGGATGTGTTAATCAGTTCCAAGTAAGCATTTCATATTGTATATCAAAACAGTACACTGAACCCCATAAATGCATCAATGTACACAGTTATGATTTAATGTAAACAAAAATAAACACATAAAAAAATAAAAAAAAAGATTAAAACGATAGAAAAAGAATTCTCCAATGATAAATACGACATGAATTGTGACTAAAGACTGCCATATTCATCATACCTATAAGCTCCAGTATGAATTCTCCAATGATTTGCAAGGTGTGAATTCCGACTTAACACTTTCCAATATTTATTACATTTATAAGGTTTCCCACCAGTATGAATTTGTAGATGTCATGCAAGGTGTGAATTGTGACTGAAGATCTTGTAACATTCATTACATTTCTAAGGTTTCTCTCAGCATGAAACTTTCAGTGCTTTCCTTGGGATGACTTGCTAATGAACATTTTGCCACATTCACTACATTTTTAAAGTTTTCTCCAGTGTGAATTCTCTGATGTTTTGCAAGGTATGAAATACATTTAAATACCTTTCCACATTCATTACATTTATAAGGTTTCTCTCCAGTATGAATCCACCAGTGTACTCGTAGGGATGATTTACGAGTGAACATTTTTCCACATTCATTACATTCGTAAGGTTTCTCTCCAGTATGAATACTTCTATGCTGTGCAAGTTGTGAACTTGCGTGGAATAGCTTTCCACATTCATTGCATTTGTAAGGTTTCTCTCCAGTGTGAATTCTCCGATGTTGTATAAGAGCTGAACAGTCACGGAATACCTTACCACATTCATTACATTTGTAAGGTTTTTCTCCAGTGTGAATTCTCTGATGCCGTGCAAGGGATGCCCTTAAACGGAATACCTTTCCACACTCATTACATTTGTAAGGTTTCTCTCCAGTATGAATACTCTGATGCTGTGCAAGTTGTGAACTTGCATGGAATAGCTTTCCACATTCATTACATTTGGAAGGTTTCTCTCCTGTGTGAATTCTCTTATGCCGTGCAAGGGCTGAACCTTTACAGAATACCTTTTCACACTCATTACATTTGTAAGGTTTCTCTCCAGTGTGAATCCTCCAGTGATGTGCTAGGGATGATTTACGAGTGAACAGTTTGCCACACTCCTTACATTTGTAAGGTTTTTCTCCTGTGTGAACTCTCTTATGTTGTGCAAGGTGTGAAACACGATTAAATACCACTCCACATTCATTACATTTGTAAGGTTTCTCTCCAGTATGAATCTTGTGGTGTGCTCCTAGGGATAATTTATGACTGAACATTTGGCTACATTCATTACATTTGTAAGGTTTCTCTCTAGTATGAATCTCCCAGTGCCTTTGTAGGGATGATTTCCGAGTGAACATTTTGCCACATTCGTTACATTTGTAAGGTTTTTCTCCAGTGTGAATTCTCTGATGCTTTGTAAGAGCTGAACTTTCACGGTATACCTTACCACATTCATTACATTTATAAGGTTTCTCTCCAGTGTGGATTCTCTGATGCCGGGCAAGGTGTGAAATGTAATTGAAGATCTTCCCACATTCATTACACTTGTATGTTTTCTTTACAGCATGGACTCTGTGATGAATTTTAAGGCTTGATTTTTTATTGAACACCTTGGTACATATATCAGATTTAAATTGATCCTCTTTTTCATGCATTATTTGATGAATATTCAAATGTGACGCTTGATTAAAGGCCTTGTCCCACTCAGTACATTTGTAATGTTCTGTCACTATCTGTGGTTTCTCTTTTTGTGGGAATAATGAAGCCGCAAGATCATACTTATGTCCATGAGAAAAGTGGGGTTTCATAGTAGAAGGAATTCTATGCAGTGGGGAAACCAAGAAATCACTGTTGATAGGTGGATCCATGGGATTACATTCATAAATTTTCTCTTTAATCTTAAATAGCTGCAGTTCTGGTAGATATGACTGGGTGTTCAATCCCAGCTGAATATTAACAAGCTTGTTTACTGAATTCCTCTTATCACAGTGATCTCTCCTACCAGGGAGATTTCCCTGAGGGGTCACATGGACTCCACTGCAATGTCTTTCATCATCTCTCCACTGACCTTCAAAGTTATGTATATTCTTTTGGATTTCCCTAAAGCAAAAGTCTTCAATGTCATGGTTTTCATTTCTTTCCAACATCACAGTGGGGGATATTTCTTCTGTACTACTGCTCTCTTTAGGTGGTAATACATTTATCCCACATATAGAAGACATACCTACAAGATACAAAGAACAACAGGCATCTGATGAATTACACACGGTCATTAAATACCTCCTATTGAAATATACAACATTATACCAAGAGTTACATAGGCACAGCACACAGAGGTATAAAACATACAATTTCCTGACTGTTAGGAAAACTTTTTCTTTTTAAATATAGAAAAACTGATTACATGTAATTCTAAAGAGTAGGCAGGGAAGGCTAGCATGAAACAACATATTACCAAAACACCTCGCAAAAACCCATGTTAACCCTTAAAGGAGAGTATTTTTACCCTGCAAGCAAAGCACTCCAATGGGTTGAAAGAACATGTGTGTTGGATGATTGAAGAGAATGATGTAGTTGTAGTTGGAAAATGTATGAACTAGGCCTGGGGTCACAGAAAACATTACTCGGAACAAATTGAGAAATACAATCCTATACAAGATAATTCATGCAACTATGATTTGAATATTGATGTTGGTCAAAATTCATCTGCTGAGGCCCTATGCAGAATTAAGCAGTCTTTCCAAATACCATGTAATATTCTTAGCCATCAATCAGCACAAACTTCTGAGAAGAACTGAGCGATAAACAATGTTTCATGTGAAATCAGCAGATCCACAGCATTTGTGCATCTAACCCCAGTTTGCACATTAAATGAGAAAAATAGGACATGATCCCGTGTGTGCAGGTTCAGACATGTTCATAGGAGCAACTGCTGTTCCAAGCAGCACCAGAAACAACAGGTCATAGGAAACAGGAGTATGAAAGTCACAGTTCGAGGGACATGGAAGGTCTTGGCTGTGTTGCCAACAGAGTTACTCTGTCATCCTTCATGGACAATGCTGTATAAGTCATCACCCACAGTACATCCTGATTTGGGCACCAGTAAAAATAACAACTTAGGCAGCGTCCTGCAACAGTTTGCCAATGGTAAGCAACTAGGTTTACATGGTGAGAGTAGTGTTGGTGGTAAGGGGTCTTGTAGAAACTGGTGTGCTGAGCAATACAAAAACTAATATGCTAAAACCCCACTGTGATTACTAAAATACTAAATACATAATACATCTTTACGTGGGTATGCAGACAAAGACATTACACATACAAAACTATGGAAATAGAATTATACCATGTCATTTAAAATTCTGACTGTGGTAGGAAAGGAAAAGTGATTTAGCAACTAACACACATCTACCCCATTCTCAACTATGAGACTAAAGCTGTGGTAGGGAGGCTAAAATGGAAAAGACTGGAAGGAGAGATGGTTTGATAATGTGGGAAGTAATTAGGTTTGTAAGCCTTACAATGTTTAGTATAAAATTAATCACATTGAATGACCTTTCAATTCCATTTCTAGCATATATTCGAAAACCTCTATATACAGATTCTATAGGACTGTATACGGCCATACCAATCTCCTCTGATCTCAGAAGCTAAGGTGCATCAGGCCTGGTTGGTACTTGGGTGGGAGATTGTAGAAAATCACATGCAGGTATGCTCTCAGTGGGACCTAAAAGGAAATACCTGGATATGGACATGGAGAAGAGAGGGATCATCTCATATTGTATTCACAAACACATAAAATGTTGTTATCAAGGGTACAACAACGTAGACAAATCCTGGGTGCAGAATCAGGAGCAACTGGCTGGTCAGGTTGAGGGATGTTTGAAGAAACAAAGTTTGGAGGATATTACTGAAATCTTCCCTTGGGCTGAGCCTTGTTTCCCACACTTGTAATTCTAGCAGTGTGGGCTGCTGAGGGGGGTGGACTGCTTGAGCACAAGAGTGTGAAACCAGCCTGAGCAAGAGTGAAACTCTGTCTATACTAAAAATAGAACAATTAGCCAGGCTTTATGGAGGGTACCTATAGTCCTAGCTACTCAACAGGCTGAGGAGGAGGATCACTGGAGCCTCAGAGTTTGGGGTTGCTGTGAGCTAGGACTCCAGGACACTCTACCCAGGGTGACAGAGTGAGATCTGCCTGAAAAAAATAAAGAAAAAAAAAAAAAGCCCTTGATCACATTACTGAAATTAAAAACAACTTCTCCAAGTATAATATTTCTTTCTTTCTTTCTTTCTTTTTTTTTTTTTTGAGATGGAGTCTTACTATGTTGATCTCAGTGGAGTATCATGGCATCACAGCTCACAGCAACTTCAAACTCTTGGGCTTAAGCAATTCTCTTGCCTCAGCCTCGCAAGTAGCTGGAACTACAGATGCCCACCACAATGCCTGGATATTTTTGTCGTTGTTGTTGTAGTTGTTACTGTTGTGTGGAAGGCCAGGGCCAGGGGCAAGGCCAAGGCCAGGGCCAGGTTTGAACCCATCAGCCCTGGTATATGTGGCTGGTACCCCAGTCACTGGACTACAGGTGAAGACCACTAACTACAATCTTTAATAAATAGTGTGTCCTTCCAAAATGAATAACAGGTTTGGTATATAAAAATTAGAAGGGGGCCAGGCACAGTGGCTCCTGCTTGTAACCCTAGCACTCTGGGAGGCTGTGGTTGGTGGATTGCCTGAGCCTAGAAGTTCAGAGACCAATCTGACTAAGACTGAAACCAAGTCTGCAGTAAATATGGAAAAACTAGCTGGGTGTTGTATTGGATGTCTGCATTCCCAGCTATTTGGGAGGCTGAGGCAAGAGGATTGCTCAAGCTCAAGTTTCAGCTTGCTGTGAGCTATGATGCCATGGCACTCTACCCAGGGTAACAAAGTAAGAGTGTCTATAACAAAAAAAAGAAAAGAAAAAAAATTTATTGTAGTTCACAGATACTTTCCCCACCTATCTAGAGTTTTTTGCTATCTCCACTTTACTCCCCTGAGTCCATAGCCTCATCCTTTCTCCAACATGGAGATAACACTCAGGTCAAAAGGAGAGATTCCTGCTCATAGAAATAAAAAATGAAGGAACATCTAGTCTTGGTACTCTTCCAAATCTCAGGCCCATGTGAAAGTGGGAGGGTGGATACTACAGAGAGATCTAGGAAAATATTTCACAAATTCATCCACTGAATGTCCACTTCTCACTGCTGAGGGAACAGTGTGAAATGCAGATGTCCAGCAGACTTCCCAAAACTACTGAACCAAAATCACAGGGATAGAGAATAAAGAATTGGCTATTTAAAAAGTTATGTGGTATCAAGCATACCTCAGCCCTGGTATGGTGAAGGGTGCAGATAACATAAACAAAGGCACAGGTAAATGCTACATGGCCATTATGAACCTTTTCATTTCTGAATAAATACAGCTCCGATCTCAGTCAAGAACACAGGGGGTTCCAAGAAGAAATCAGGAAAAATAGAAAGGTATGCAAGGATAGATCCTAACTTCAGGAGAAAGGTAATCCTTACCCAGGGAGGCTAGGTTCCTATAGTTCTCCAACATCACGTCCCTGTATAAAGTCCTCTGAGCAGGGTCCAGGCACGTCCATTCCTCCTGAGAGAATTCAATGGCCACATCCCTGAATGTCAAAGGGCTCTGAAATCAAAACACATTTTACCGAAGCATTACAGGTAGAGTTCTTAGGTTTACACAAAGAGGCGAAGACAGAGGCAAGAGGATGGATTCATTGAGGTGAGTGTTCCTATAAAGCCAAACAAAGTATTTCTGAGCACATTGTGTCTCTTTCCTTCTGGTTTTGAGATGGGTGCCCGCTGCCCGAGCACCCCTATAAGATGGATATTGCATTGCCCTGACACACTCTAGAGATGGACACTGCCTGCCACTGATGTGCACTAGAGGGCTGTGTAGGATAAAAGATTAAAGGACAAAATTTAGAAATACCTTGACTTTGAAATGATGACAGGCACCATCACTCTTAGAGTAGTCCGGATTGGGCCAGAGCAGAATGAGATAAGAACAGATGGGTCAAGTACTGTCATCATGAGAATTAATGAGCTAAGTGCTATGATAAATTGTTTTACTTATCCATTAGTTGCCAGATCTGCATTATGTTAATTTATTGTTATCTAACTGCCCTTCATGTTACCTATTGGCTAATCCGCTAAATTGCTGGTTCGCTTCAGTTTGCTTCTGTAAAGGGCGTCATCGTGACCCCATGCTTGCTTTCTGCTTCTTTTGCTAATATTCTTTTTACTTTTAATTGCTAACTTTCAGACCACCTGTTGGGTTCGCTGCCAACTTTTTGACTAGAAAAACCTCAACTTCAGACCCCTCATGATCTCTCACTTAGTCTGCTTTAGACATTGCGGAGACAGCCCCAGGGTTAATAAAAGACTCCTTTTAAAATTCTAATTTGAGTTGGTGGTCCTTTATCTCACCCCATAGCAGTTTATTATACTCTTCCATGGAAGGTTCTCATATCCTGTACGTGAGGGTATTTCTCATTCCTGTGAACCATTTAAGAAATTGAAAAATAAAAAATAAATGCAGAGTTATCTCTGTACGTGTGTTAGATAGTCTGTCTGACACAGAAAGTGATATTGAGTGTCTAGAGGAGCTAAAGAATGGATGCTGACTTCAGAGATGACAACATTCCTGGTGCTTTTAAGGAAAGGTCAGAATCTAAAGTCCGAGATGATGGCGGCAAGAGCAGTGACTGAAGCTTCCCTGTGCTAAGCGTTATGCTAAATACCATATACTGGCTCGGCGCTTGTACCAAAGTGGTTACGGTGTTGGCCACATACAGCAAAGCTGGCAGGATCAAACCCAGCCCAAGCCACCTAAACAACAATGGCAACTGCAACAAAAATCTAGCCAGGCTTTGTGGTGGGCGAGTGTAGTCCCAGCTACATGGGAGGCGGAGGCAAGAGAATCACTTAAACCCAAGACTTTGAGGTTGCTGTCAGCTGTGACACCAGAGCATTCTTTCCAGGGTGAGAGCTTGAGACTCTGTCTCAAGAGAAATTAAATAAATAAATAAATAAATACCATATACCAACATAATACTCAGGAGAGAAAGCTCTGCAGCCATTTTACTAAGAACACATGTCACACATGGGTGTCTAACCTTTTTTCTCCTGCCACACATTGGAAGAAGAATTGTCTTGGGCCACTCATTGAATACACAAACACTAACAAAAGCTGATGAGCAAAGACAGGAACTGTGAATGAGTTTTGCAAAATACTGCACCACAGATGAGCAAAACATTCCTGAAATAATCCACATGTGGCGTCCAGGCCTGAGGTTGAATACCCCTGAATATACTCTAAGAAAAAATAGTAGACAAAGTTGGGCACCCCTTTCAACTAAAAAACACTAAACCACGTACCAACAGGGAAAAAACTGTAAGACACTGAGCTTGGAATGAATTTCTAAAATATAACACCAAAAGTGCAGGCAAAAAAAGCTAATACAGACAACAGAAACTAGATCTAAATAAGAAACTTCTATGCATCAAAGTTATCAATCAAAAGAGGAAAGGCAACCTATGGAATAGGAGGAAATATTTGCAAGTCATGTCTCTGACAGGGGTTCATATCCAGATTACAAGAGGAACTTCTACAACTTTATCACAAAAAAAGAAATAAACCAATTATAGAATGGGCAAAGAACTTCATAGGCATTACTCCAAAGAAGATAAGCAAATGGGCTCGGCGCCTGTGGCTCAAGCGGCTAAGGCGCCAGCCACATACACCTAAGGTGGTGGGTTCGAATCCAGCCC